ATCATTTGGTTGATCCATTCTGCAAATCCTTTTGTAAATCAGTTTTGCAGATCTCTTTGTAGATCCGTTTACAATACATATGCACAGCTAAATTGGTTTGTGATATGATGTATAACATATCACATGTGAGCTCCTTAAATTCCTGCCAGTTCTTCGATACTGATATATCTCTGAAATCACAAGATGGTCGGCCAATCAGAAATTTTTATTTATGTTTACTGTATTAGAATAAGAGGCCAAGGCACATGTGCGTTCTTTCAGTTTGGTACTCATAGGGGCAAATAAAACGTTTATCACAAATGTAACAGATAGTATTTCCCTACCCTTTGGTCTCACTTTCTGAAATTTTAGATGATGATTCTGGATCAATAGACTTCATTGATAAAGTGGATCGGGTACAATTTTTATTTTTATTCTTTTTACAACTCATTAGTTATTTGAATATGCATTTATTGAGGAAAATTTAAATCAAACTTATTGATCAAGGGCTAGCTCCAGGCTATATATGCCAGTGAAGTCACGAGATGATCGGCCAATCAGAAAAAAACTAAGCCATTATTATTACCATTAACTGCAACGCCTATGATATCGAGACCAGTAACACCACCAGCCAAAGAAATAGTTGTGCAGTCAAGACGAACGACACCCAGTATTCCCGCTTTCTCACAAAGTGCGAAGGTTATCAATGTCACTATCAATAACAATTACTCTGGTGCTTCAGAAGTTAAGCAGGATTAGAATTTTTCTTTAATGTACTTAACAGTAGAATGATGTTTTAGCGAATTTTAGTATTTTTTTCACGACTGCAAGTGCATATATTAAAGGCGCAATAGATTACAAAAAATGTATTATTATTCATTAATGACACTTGTATAATAAAAAATAAATTACAAGTCTCTGAGATTTTGCCGAATGCACTGTTAGCACAGTTTTATTTATTCGATGAGCAGATCAGACAACATATACATGTGTTAAAAAATGGAAGCCCTATTGGGCGAAACTTTATTAATTACAAAGCGAATCATGCTTTACAATACTGCATATAAAAAAGTCCTAAACTTCGAGATCATGCCTGCTCAGTCACGGTCTTGCTATACCGGCATCACATGATCTATGGGATTTAAATTTGTCTAGTATTCTTCCTAACCTGAGATGCTACATATTTGATATTATCTGAACTTAAACTTGAAATAGAATTCGCCGTAAACGTTTTTATTCGTTGGATAAATGCCACCCGTTGATTTTTATCATCACTAATGCGGAAAAAAAGATCATAAACCTTTCTGGCTCTTTTTGTTTTCTTTTGGAGAGCATTTTTGGTAACCTCATTTGGTAGCTGGTCTCTGACCTCAACATTGACCTTCTTCTGAGCCTCGTGCTCTTCATGGTTTGTTTATAATATTCAAGACGCTTTCATTTTGCTCCTTAGCATTGGAGATTTTTAAATACAAATCAAAAAAAATTTGGGAATCGTCAACCTCTCGTACTGATTCTCTATAGAGGCCTTTTTTTTCCTTAATTTCAGATATACACGTAGTATTAGAAGACAACTCCCGGACAGAAGGAGATACAACAAACAAAAATAAATGCAAATTGTGTCTTAGAAAAAATAATGCGAATATATATGTGATTCACATGTCGCAGAGTTTTTCCGATATTGTGTTGTGCATTTCAGTTGATTGATTTCCTCACATGATCGGCCAATCAGATTTCAGATTTTTTCTTTAGCCGGATCTAATGAAATTATGGACACTGTGTCAAAATTGTACAGAACCAGAATCAGCATCCGGTTAAATTTATCTCCCGAAAAAACCGAATGCCTGACTAGCTTATTTTTCTGATGGCACAGTGTCTGGGCTCGCCAAAATTACGCAGAAAAAAATGATTAATCATATGACGCAGATAGTCATAGTTTTATTTGAAAACTTATTGGGAATTAGCAAACTAGTATCAATCAATTTGTATGTGGGCTAAAATCTTAATGATATTTATTTTTTTTCATTACAATGTATAATGCAATATTAATTAGTAAACCACAGTAAAAAGCTTTATGATTTCCTGTTTAGATAAAAAGTGCGAGAATAAAATTTTTTTCCCTTCATTACTTCTTATTTCTTGGCTTTCTTCACTTTCCCATAATCAAACTCAGAATAATTATTATCGGCTGATAGATTTCGCTTAACTAAGTATAAACCTATTTCATAAAAATCCTCATAATATTGATTTATTCGATTATACCTACCAACAACAAGGGAATCCTAAAATATTCACAAGAAATAAATTCAATGTACAGTAAACTAAAAACATAACATAATTAAAAAACTCTAACCTGTGTGATCTCTATTTCTTTTTTTACAATTTCTTTTTTGGTAAGCAATTTGCTTATTTTAGCTATTTTTCTCTTGATTTTTCGTGACATCTGTTTCATCTGAAAAAGCATTTTTATTAAAAATGTGGAAATAATTATACAAAAGCTAAGACGCTCATGAGGTGTATAAAGCACATGAAGTAGCCTGAAAGATTGTACTTTTGGAGATGATGATCACCTCAACTCACGAGAAAAAACCTCGCCTCACAAGGAAACACCTCAGAGCATACAGTCTCTAGTAAGCTAAAGTGCAATCAGATACAACAATCCCCCTGGAATTAACCCAAACATTTGGACTAATTTATAACGAGGAAACATTCCGCATACTAAGCCAACAAAGTATACAGCTTGCTAGATTGTCGATCCTCAGGCTGTTTATTCTCCTACTTGAAACAAAATAATATTACCTTAAGTTGACATTCCAAATGTGTCAGACGCTGTTGTGCGGGGTGATCATCTGAAAATAATTTCTTTAAAATCTCGATCTCTTTTTTGAATGAATCATGGACAAGATCTTTTTTTACATCGTGTAGGTGTTTCAAATATTCATGGAGACTCAGCCATTTATCGTAGGGTTTGTTCCAAAGTTCTGTAAGAATGCGAAAGTAAATTCATAAGTAAAGAAATATCACAGTAATTATTACCATAATAACGAAGGAGTTGTGAGGCGTTTTCGGGTAGGTAAGTGTCTTTCAGAATACTCCTAAAAGTTGACAGATTCACAGTAACTTCAGCATTCACGACAGCTTCAGCATCCTCATCCTGAAGAAGTAACGATTGCTGGACTATTTGTGTGATGAAGGAGAAAAAGCAGAATAAGTTTGAAATATTCGATATTATAAACAAAATATGATGACGAAGCAACGATTATCAAAAACTAATCTATATCGGAGTTGATATCTTTTTTATTTCAAAACACTTACCAATGGAAACGGGTTTTTCTACAATAACTTGGAGTGGTGTTTGGCAGCAAAAAGGTGGAAGGATATCGGACGTCAAAATTAAAGACCTTAAGTAGGTACATTTCTTGTCCTTCGTGTCCAAATCATCAAGCGTCAACTCGCCTACGTTTCTAGTAAAGTAGCTTAATAATTTTATTTTTTCGCCTGAAACAATCCCGAGGTTATAGGCAGACTTTCCTATGATTGGCTATTACAGATCAATTAAATTTGGTATTATTTATACAGTTTAAAGTACCTTTTCAGAAAATGGTGTTACATTTAGTAAAAAAA